GACCCATTGTTACATACAGGGTCCAGAATAGCCCAGTGAGTTACCTTCCTTTGGTGAATAACAGAAACTATGACCCATTGTTACATACAGGTAGTTAGCTCCACTTGGAAAATAATACTTAGCAGACAAAATAGATATATTTCATATAAACTGCAACAGTTGAATTGAAATGAGACGGAAAATGCATATGCTTTTTCCCCTTTATTCCAATAATAATGGTGTTCTTTACTTTATCTCTAAATAATATTATTTAACACATAGGCTGCCATGTGCTCCACTGGTAGATCACAGACAATTATGTTTCAAAGCCAAATTTCTCTTGTGGCATATGAGTTTGGGACACTTTGACTGCTCCTCAGCACCTTTTGAATGCTTAATTTTATTTTAATAAATTTATTTTGTGGCAGCCAACATGTTAAGCTACATCCTAACAAACAAAGTTGTTTAACAAAGATACAGCATGAATAATGTCCTCTATAACAGTTTAGTAATAAAAGAAGAACAATATAATGAGCTTATAACTAGCAGTGTCATGTATACTATTACTGTTAGGTTTAGTATTTAGCATGCATAATGTACCACTAAATGCAGACAAATTACATAAACTTTTCATGATTATGTATATGGAAGTAAGCATCATTTCAATGGATAACTTTTAGACTGATAGTGAGAAACAAAAATTATTCTTATGTTTTTATGTAATCATATCCATAAGGACTACTGTTACATGTGATTATACAATCACATAATGACTGCTGTCTCTCTTCAGGCCACATATAGAAAATGTTTGTTCCATCATTCCTTAATACATTGAGTTACCGCATTTAGTTATACATTTTGTTAGTTCCTTTACTGGTACTACAAATTATAAAGATACTTAACTTTAATCTTAATACTTGTCTTTGCAAATTATAAACATTTTTTGGGTGTTATAGAAATTACTACAAACTTTGCAATTCATTCCAATCAATCATCTCACATGTAACAGAATTTATATTACAATTTTTCACAAATTTCTCAAATCATAAGAAAGTGAGCAATAGATTCTCAATTCTCCTAGATAGTTAATGTAATCATCTAACAACACTATTTTGATTTTTGTGGTTGTAATTTTATGCTAAGTACATAACAAACTTTGTAAATTATTCAAAGAATTGAGCTGTATGCAAGTTACAACATGAAACTTACACGAATATTGTGAATCCATATTTACTGAAAATCAGGAGGAACACGTATAGAATATGGCTTCTAATCATAATGGTGGCAAAAAAATCTTATTGTTGGGTAGAAAATAATTTGAATGAGGTATAACATTTGGCAGCAAGCCAACATGAAATGTAATTGCCAAGTTAAGAATGTGCTTATTAGGGGTCATACTACATACCACCAAGACATGTCTCTAAAAAAAGCAAACAGATCTTATTACTATTATCATATAAGAACTTTGTGTTATTCATTTCTTATATGCTATATCTCTTATATTATTTAACCCTTGAATGACAACAAAGCTTGGAAAGCACATGAACCCATCCTTATGCCATATGTGGCCTAATATCAAACTTAATCCTTAATTATTTGGGTTAATATTAAGTATGTAACCATGTTGCATAAAATTTACAGCAGTGACTACATACCTAATTTCTCAACTCTGTTAGTGCGGTAACAAATATAGCTTCTTGATGGCAATGGATTTCAGTCCATACTACTAACTCTAGTAACATTAATACAGCTTCAGGTTTCCTTCAGTCAAATGTACTTGAAATGCATTTCTAACTAAAACACCTCATACTAATAAAATATTTCATTAATTTTTGATTTACTTCACACATTTATAAATTGCAGCTTTTTAAGGCTTAACATTATTCACTTTTTTATTGATTGTTATTGATGATTCCCTCTGGAATTTAATGCTACTAGTACTAATGTTACTAGTCAGTACGCAGTTCTATCATTAAGCATGGTAGTGCTTAGTGTATGTAGGGATAGGCCGAGAAAACAAATGACTGCTGCATTCAATCTATTACTCAAAGATGTTTACAAGTAACACCTAAAGTTCAGTTATAGCCTTATTTGAACACATACTTGCCATTATTGAGCGTTTCACAGCTTGTGAGACTCCCAACATCATTGAAAAGTGCTGCTAAAGTGAGGAACTGGAAACTAACTAAAGAGCCAAAGAGTTCATCTTTCTTTTCCCATGCTTGCCACAAAATGTGTGAAGTTTTTGCAATGGCTTTAGTACGACAGAAAAGCATTTTAAGAGCACTTGGGAACAGGTTATCATTAAGCACAGTAGTGCCTAGTATAAGTAAGAAAAAAATCATGATTTTTAGTGAAAAATTTTTTACCATTACCCCTTGAAGTCAGCTTTTTTACAAAAATATGGTGTTTTTTTAAAAAGCTTAAGTACAGGGTGAAACAGGAATTACCAGCCAATAATAGATGAAAATTAGATGATTGTAACACAAAGAATACTCAATGCTTTCTACACTATACAATCAGAATGTTTAAGGAGCCAACTCCTCTATTATGTATGTAGTAGTAAAAAAAATCAATA